TGGGCCAAGATAAGACAAGGTAACCAGAGTAGCTTCACATCAGTTGAAGGGTGCCTACTATAAGCAGTTCTAATGCAAGTCCCAGGAAAGAATGCCTATATCTTAACAAATAAGAAAAGATAATACAGCATAAATTTGTTCAAGTAATCTAATGATTAAAAAATATACTCCACAGAAAAAGTAAATAATGATCTCACTTAGGAATTTAAAGAAAAATATATCAAAATATAAATGGTTTTGAAAATGTGAAAAAGGAACAGACCATCAAAACCTGGATTCTCATTTCAACTGGATAATCCTGGGCTGTTCACTCTTGGTGACTGTGTCTTAGTTTCCTTATCTATAAACCCAGGACCTGAAAGCGTATCATTTCCCAAACTTGTCTGATCACAGGACTCACATGTGGTTATAGTTAAAAATATGAGCCTAAAAAGCCTAAAGAATCAGAATCCTCGTGGAAGGAACTCAGGGTGTGCATATTTTAGTAAACACACCAATTTACACTGATGATGGAACAAGTTCAAAGAACACAGGAGTAAATTGTTGCTGTAGAATAATGGAGAGTGGATAAATGGAATGATTCTTCATTGCCAATATTTGGGCTTAATTTAGAATTTTTTTTCCTAATGTATAAGTTAGTTTTGAAAAAATTGGCTTGGTATATATTTTGTTGTTACCAAGGGCCCTAAAATGAGGACGGCATGGAAAATGAAATTCTGAGTTAAATTAAAATACAGTTGCGTGTGTGAAACATGAAATTCTTCCTGTTTTATGCCTCCAGTTATTCAGAAAGTAGCATTTGTTCAATGAGGATACTTCATTCGTAGCCTATGGGAAAACTGAATAAACTGATCTGGATCTGCATTTTCTTATCTTAATGACAGATTAAAGTGAAGGTTTTATTATTTCTAATTCAGTTTGATTCAAGAGAGGCACAAAGGGAAAAGGACTAATAAAATGCATGTTGAATCCCTTTCCTTTTCCTATAAAAAGATGTGAAGATGCATTCACATAATTGATATCAAATTACCAATTTGTTTTTCTTTTTAAGTCACTGATAAATTGCTTTATAGTTAATGTCCTAAGGCTTAAGATATCACCTGAGTGTTGTGCCTGCAATCCAGGCAGCATCAACTTTGCAATAATACTTAATAGGCTCTAGGACGTAAAGAAATTATTTCAGATGTTGACATTGAAAGAGCCAATTAAGTAGGTCAGATGGCTTTAAAATACAGAACTTTTTGAGAAGCTATTTACCAATTTTCCCCTTAGTAAAAGCAATTAAGATCATAGAAAGACAGTGTTAATACAGAAATGGTGAATCTGCTTGAGATTTACTCTTCAATAGTAAAATCAAAGAAAAATCTACTATAAAAATTGTCTTGTCTATAACTGAGACTGTCAAATTCTCCATAGTATTAAAAATTCAGCATATATAAAAAGGACTTTGGTAAACAGATTTCCCCCCAAAAGTCTTGAAATTTTTGATGAAAAATTTTATCTTAGGCCAGGCACGGTGGCTCACACCTGTATTCCCAGCACTTTGGAAGACCAAGGCGGGTGGATCACAAGGTCAGGAGTTCAAGACCAGCCTGGCCAAGATGGTGAAACCCCGTCTCTACTAAAAATACAAAAATTAGCCAGGTATGGTGGCGGGCGCGCATAATCCCAGCTACTCGGGAGGCTGAGGCAGAGAATTGCTTGAACCCGGGAGGCGGAGGTTGCAGTGAGCAGAGATCACGCCACTGCACTCCAACCTGGCCCACAGAGTGAGACTCTGTCTCAAAAAAAAAAAAAAAAAAAAAAAAAAACTTCCAGAAATTTTGTTTAAATATTGAAAGAAAATAAATTGCTGAAAATGGATTTTATATAAATATATATAAATCTTGTTAATTATGATGAAAATAATACGTCAATCATTTGTATCAGTAGAAAACCTTATTCTAAGAGTTTTTCTTTAAAAAAATTAAGGATATTAGAACGAGAGAAAGAAACCCACATAAAGAAGGATAAAACAAGTAAAAAATTTCAAATGTGTAAAAATAACAGGAAATGTGAAAAAGTTCTGCCTTCATGGCACAGAATGTGTAATGATATAAGAAGACAGGAGGAACCATAACTCAGTTCCTACTTTGATTCCATCATCAATCAAAAAAGAATTATTTTTCACTTTGAAAGCATGGACCAACAATGTTTAAAAGTAAAATGGTACCCAAGAAATCAAGAAAATGAAACAATCCTTAGGTATGTTATCATTTTTTCAAATGTCCTGGTCTAGAAAAATTACATCACGGTATACTTAAAGAAAGTATAAGTGTTCTTATTAAAGTATTTCCAACTACCTTTGAAAATTCTTGGAAAATAGGTGGGCACAGGAAACAAATAGTAGTAGGTGATAAATACTGGCTATGTTTTAAAAGGGAAAAAGGGCTGAATTCTAGAAATCATGGTTTATTACATTTAATAAACTGTTTAAATTTAATAGCGGTCTGTGTAAAAATTATGGAATATGTTACAGAATAAGTGGTATGTGACTTTATAGAAAACAAAATGGGGATAAACAGAGACCAACCTGGCTATACTAAGAAACATTACTATTAATCTAACAACTACTGCTAGGGATGTCACAGAGGAGAGTGTTGTAAGCATAGTACATATGCTTCTTCTTACAAGGTGTTTGAAATAATCTCTCATGTTTCTGAAGAAAGGAAGGATACATATGGATTGTTTGGTTAAATAACATTCTATAATTAAAAGGATCTTAATTAGTGAGCTAGAAAAACAATATTTATCCAGTGTTGTCCAAAGGCTGATATTAAGGGATAAGATAATATCCCTGCCCCCCAGAAGTTTGCATTATAATGGAGAAATGTTTCTAGTTGTATGTCACTGACACTATGTTGAAACAGTGGCCACTGACTTGGAAATCACTTCAGATATGCAGATTTCATTAATTATGGAATAATACCTAACATATTGAATGATAGAATCCAGAAAGAGGATGTCAATGAACAGAGTGTACACCACATATCACACATTCTTTAATATTCATTTCATTGAGAATGATGACTACACTAAGAACTAGAGAATTTTCAGCTCTTTCCCTACCCAGCCCAGCCCCCTCCACCAGCACCTTGAACCTGAACAAGCTTAGTGACTGTTTGACTAAGAATAATGTCAGATATGAATCTGTACCAATTTACAGACCTAGGTCTTAAGACACTGACAGATTTCTTTTCCTATATTTTCGAACACTGACTTATGAAAGACAGCTGCAATGCTGTGTGGAAGAGCAAGCAGCTCTATAGAATGGTCTGTGTAAAGATGTACTACATCCCCTGTGTTACGGCTCCTACTGAGCCCCAGCCAATAACTAGCTCCAAATGCCAGTCACAGGTGGAGCTATCTTGGACAAGGATCCTTCACACTCGGTTTATTCAGGCTGACCCTGAAAGACAGTGTCAAAAGACAAGCTATTCCAACAGCAAAGGCCTCCCCAGATTGCATATTTATGAGACAAATAAATTGTTATTTTATGTCACCATGTTTTGTGTGTGTGTCTCTCTGTGTGTGTCCCTCCCTTTCTCTGTCTTGCACGCTCTCTCAAACACGCACACACACGCACGCACACACACACACTTAAGATCACAAATTCAATTGTATCAAGAAATAAATAATTCTAAATATAAATAAATATTTAGATCAACTTGTTTTAACTGTCAGTTGAATATGAACCAGCAGTGCATATAGCCGATTCACTAACAGAGACTCTTATCCAGATCCAGTCATTCTCCTTATACCTAACCATTGACATATTCTATTAATTTTGCCTCCAAAGGTCTCTTGGACACTTCTCTTCTTCATCCCTACTGATGCCACCGTTTTCACTTATGTAACAGTTTCCTGACTTGAATCTTCACATTCACTCTTACCTCTCTCAAATAACTCCTCCAACTGAAATGAAATGAGTTGTTAAAAAATGTAAATCTGAGTTAGTCTCTGTTTACAATCCTTCAATCATATTATTATTATTATAAAGACTCACTGATTATTATTATTATTTTTTCTGAGACACAGTTTTGCTCTTGTTGCCCAGGCTGGAGTGCAATGACGCGATCTCAGCTCACTGCAACCTCCTCTTCCAGGGTTCAAGCGATTCTCTTGCCTCAGTCTCCTGAGTAGCTGGAATTACAGGCGCCTACCACCAAGTCCAGCTAATGTTTTGTATTTTCAGTAGAGACCGGGTTTCACCATGTTGGCCAGGCTGGTCTTGAACTCCTGACGTCAGGTGATCCATCTGCCTCAGCCTCCCAAAGTGCTAGGATTACAGGCATGAGCCACTGTGCCCAGCTAAGATTCACTGATTTTTATCCTAATACTTAGCAAACAGTTTATCAGAAACGTTATGAATTGCCACTGACCTCTTTGTCCTTTTTATTCTCTCACCTTAACTTTCTTTACCTAGAATGTGTTCTACTTCCTTTCGCCTCACATTTTTTGTACATTCTGTTCCCTTTGACGGGAATGATTAAATTTCCTTAGTGTCCTTCGAATTGCTGGTCAACTGTTACGTATTCAGGTAAACGTTCTCTGCCCTTCCATACTAGGTCATCCTGTCTGTTCCCACAAACAGACTCCACACCTCTCGCAGCTTGATTTGTCTCTTCTCCGAGACATTTGACACACTTGCCGTTTATAATTATCTGGTGGCTAGCTGTTCATTGGCTATCACTACAAATACAAGGCAATCATCACAAGGGCAGGGACTCCGTGTTGTCACTTCAGTTTCCCAAACACCTTACAACATGTCTTATATGATGTATGTGCTTGTTAATTATGTGTTAAATACATAAATGATCAATTGATTTCAGGGATTTGAAAGCCTTATTCTCCTCATATGAGACATTCATCATTGTAAACTCATAGTCTGGCTAAGTAGATGCTCCCTGTTTGTTTCTCTGGATTGAACAAATAAAGGTATTACAACCATGCTGAGCAGCTGAAATCTACAGTATTTTAATTGTGGCATCAAAGAACTGTGACAAACTAGGTAAGTTCAATTGAAAACAGTCATAAAGATGAAAAGTCTGGAGACCATGTCACCTGGGAAATTTCTCAGGAAATCAGGAATTTGGTCCAGGGAAGAGAGAACTCTAGCTGAGTTATCATGCAGGAATATGTGAGCTGTTGGAATAGATATTTCTCCAATGAACACAACTAATACCCACATATAAGATTCATCATGTTGTTCAACCCATGTATTCACTAAAGACCTAGGAAGTGCTCACCATGTGTCTCGCACTACTTTAGGCAGGAGTTTGTAATGATGGAGCTAACACACTAATAAAAAGCAAAAAGATGAAGACCAACTAAATAAAAATTGGTAACTAGTATAAAACAGATAGGCCCCGATGTTTGATGTTACCCATCCCTGTGTCCATGTGTGCTCATTGTTCAGCTCCCACTTATGAGTGAGAACATGCACACGTGTATATCTACGTAACAAACCTGCATGTTCTGCACATGTATCCCAGAACTTACAAAGTATAATTTTAAAAAAGGAAAAAAATATATACCTGAGCACACACACACAAAAAAAAAAAAGACAGATAAGTACCTTGAAAGAGAACACAAGGAGAGAGCACCATAGATTGGGTGGTTAAAAAAAATTTTCAAAAACTTTGAAAAGGGAATTTTCAAGATGAAATCTGAGGTATGAGAAGTGAGCAGGTCAGGCCTATAAAGTTTCTCCTATCAGTAGAAAAAGGGAAGTTTATTCCAGGTAGAATGATCCTGACATTGGAAGATTGTAAGGAGATAAAAATGTAGTGTCCTCATGACTTAGAAAAAGGTAAATGTAGCTTGAGCATTATATGTAAGCAGAAGTGTGGTACAAGATGAAGTTAGAGAGAGGAGCAAGAATCAGATGAGGTAGGGCACTGTTGGTCGCGATTAAAAGTTTGGATTTTATTATTTGTGATATGTGAGAAGTACCTGGAATTAAAATGTTTTTCATTTGATTTTAAAGGGATACATTTTTTGAAGTATAACTTATTAGAGATAGATTAATAAAGAATATTGAATGTCAGGTGGAAGAGACTAAGCAAAAACTACATACTTCACACACACACACACACAAAGGGTAACAGTGAAAAAAGAAAGAACTGGTTAGATTTGAGATCTATGTATTGAAGTTATATCATGAGCTGAATTGTGCCCATCTCTGCACACCCCCAACCCCATTTGAAGAGGCAGCAAGACCGCAGCCATATGCAAGCCAGAGAAAGGGGCCCCAGAGGAACCAATCCAATAGGGACTTTGATTTTAGACATCTAGCCTCCAAAACTGTGAAAAAAATAAATTTCTGTTGCTTAAACCATCCACATTGTGGAATTTTATTATGGCAGCCCTAGGAAACTTACACAAAGTGGACAGGCAATATTTGTCAAGGGATTAGATGTAGAATGATAGAAAATGAGCAGCAAGTATCTTTCCCATGTTTGCCAATTGAATAACTAGGTAGATAGGGATGTCATTTCCTGAAACAGAAAGACTGAGGGAAGGGCACATTTCTCTGGAGTAATCAGGAAGTTTCCTTTAATTACCCCAAATCTGAGATGACTGTGAGGCATATTTAGTAGAGATATAAATCACGGCAGTTGATTATTTAAAAATCTAGAGCTCAGAGGACATATCTTTGTTAAAGGAATATACATGGGGTGTCTATTCATATGTGTGTATGCATGTATGTACATATACATACTTATGGTGATATTCAATATTAGGGAGTGGATTTGATCACCAAAGGGGAGGTGGTAGAGAAATAAGGGAAGTACATCCAACACTTATCACTACAGTAGTCAGCATTTCAAGTTAACATGGAAGAAGAACAAGCAAAAGACACTGAGAAGCGTCTCAGTGTCTTCACAGTGATCAGTGACATAAAAGTACATCTGGGAGAGTATGATAAAACAGAAACCAAAATAGAAGTGGTTTCCAAAAGGAGGGCATTGCATTTAAAATGCTGCTGAAAGTTGGAGTAAGATGAGAAAAACATTTATCCCTTTAACTTGGCAACATGAAGGTCTTTAGTGATTTTTGACAAGAATTTTTTCAGTGGAATTGTGGGGGTGGAAGCCAGAATGGATTGAGTTGAGAAATGAGAGGGAAGTGAGGAAGTGAAGTGAATGTGATTGCTTTTTTAAAAAAGATTCGTTATGAAGGGGATCTAAGAAACAGGTTATTGATCAGAAGTTTTTAGACGGGTAGTATTGCTATAAAATATGTATGCTGATGGAAGTGGCCCAGGAGAGAGGTGTGAAAGCCAGTAGAAGTAAGATCCAAGTTACCTGTGGAGGGGATGACCTCTTAGATAAGGGCAGTATCTCCCTGGAGATAGGAAGACAGGAGAAAATGGGGGAAGGTAAAGTCAGTTTAATGAATGTAAGGTATTTTCCATCTAATCACATCTGTTTTATAAATAATGAATGAAAAAAGGTTATCACTTATCATTCAAGAGTTGAGGAGAAGCTTTTTAATGATCAAAGAAAAGTTACAAAATATCCATAGGTGTAATAAGAGAGGGAGCTTATAAGTAACAGTCTATGTGGTGAGGTCATAAGAACCTGTTGACTATAACTTTACAGGGACATCTAATTGCCTGAGGGTGTGAATTTCTTCAGTAATGCTCTGTTGCATGGGTCATGGATCAGGAAGGGCAGTTGTCCATCACAGTAAACATGGTGATCCAGCCAGAAAAATGTAGTAAATAGCTGAAGATGGTTGTAAGTAAATTATCATAACAATGGGCGTGGAATCCATGAGGTATACATTAGTTACCTACATTTGCATAACAAATTATCCCCAAATTTAGCAGTTGGAAGCCACAAACATTCCTGATCTATAGTGTTTGTAGGTCAGGAATCCAGAAGCAGCTTAGCTGCTTGATTCTGGCACAAGCCTGTCATGAAAGGGCAACCAAGATGTTGGCTGGACTGCAGTCCTCTCAAGACTTGAATGAGGAAGCTTCTACTTCTGAGCTCACTCATGTGTCTTTTGACAGGCCTCAGAAGGCCAAACTCACATGGACTTCTCTATTTAGGACGGTATCATAACACGGTACCTGGCTTATTGCAAACAAATGCTCTAAGGAAGAGTAAAGGAGCTCCCAAGATGGAAGACACATTCATTTTATATCTTAACATCCCATTGCTACTACCATATTCTGTTTGATAAAAGCAAATTTCTAAATCTAGCCCACATTCAAGAGAGAGACAATTACACAAGGACGCACATACCAGGAAGTAGGGATCATTAGGGTCCATGTGAGAGGCTGCTTACCACAGGGTATAAGGAGGAAAATGAAGATAAGAGTAGAAACTGGTGGGAATTAATAATAATAATAATAATAATAAAGACCTGAATTTTGTGAAAGACTTGATTCCATGTGGTTACTTAGGAGGTGAGTTTTTAAAAGTAGAAGGTGGTAATTAAGGCACTGAAACATTAAATGTTAAATATTGGGAGTGGTTTAGTCACTGGTTTGACTTTTTAGTTAAAGACCATAGGGAAATGTTGTTGAAGTAGTAGGAAAAAACAAACAAAAAACAAACAAACAACAAACAAAAAACAGAAATAGAATGGAGAAGCTAGTGTGTCAGGATAAGACATCTGCATGGGAGCTGAAGCCATGAGAAGAGGAATGGAAGTCAGGTGGACAGAAAAACTGCGAGCCGGCAGCTAAAAGATTCCATGAATGGAAAATATAATCTGGAAGAAGAGGTAAAGCTGCAAAGGCAAATGCCTTGATCTCTACAGAAAGGTGGGCATGAAAGGGAAATGAGGAGTAAATATTTGAAACCAAAGGGGAGAGTAAGGATACTGATTCTGCCCCTGACCCATTGAATCAGGGTATGGAAGCGGCATACACATAAATTGCTTCTGTTTGACACGGTTGGAAGAGATGCCATATCTTCATAAAAGAGCAGGCTTCAGTCAAGGAAATGGGTAGAGAATATTCTTCCTCTTGTTTGCTGGTATAAAAGAGCATGGAGATCCAGAAGGCAAAATGCGAGAATCTGCTAGGAAGAGAAATGGTGGAGATAAGTGGATCAGAATTGGTAGAAACAGGACTGAACATGAAGAAATGTTCAGAAATAATAGGTAGTCCATAGACTTCAATACCTGGTGTTGATAAAGGTCAGCAAATGTGCTGTTCCTGGCAGCTTTAGTTATTGTCATCATTAATGGTAAAGTGGGACTTCTGTCAAAGAAAAAAAAATTATTAGAGTGGGAGAGGAACAAAAATGGAAAGGACTGTCTGTACCTCAGCAGATGATAGCAACGGGGTAAGGCAAAGCTGGTAAAACTACGGAGGTTTTCAAAATTATGATAGAATAGAGAGGCATTACCAACCTGTGAGTGGAAAAATTGTGATTCTTTCTAGTCTAGGATTTAATTGCATTTTTCTCTCACTGCTTCCATTTCTTGTGAGACACCTTCTGTTATTTAGAATATGTCAGGAAGAGCCTTAGACATTATTCAATCAAGCTTTTTTCTGTGAGATAACTGAAGTCCAGAGAATTCATAGCTTCTTGTCCTTAATGAGGTATACACTTAGTGTCAGGTTCGTGAGTAAAAATGAAGAATCCTGATTTCTAGTATAATTGAAATTTCAGAGATTAAAGATAATGGTAGAAGTATAGTAACTTCATATGAAAAAATAACTAGCTGAAAAAGGACAAATTTGGGGGTGAATGTATGTTCAATTGCAAACACATATTTTGAGCTTTTAAAGTCCATATTTTTCAAGATGCTTCTACAGCACACAGATGTGACATTATGTGTTACCTACTTACAGTATTTCCTTAATATCACCAACGAAACCTTGAAAATTGATGGCCAAAAGTATTTACCGACTTTTTTAAAACTTGTATCGTTGTATAGGGAAATAATGATAAAAAATGGAAACTTGATGTAACTGGGATTTTTGGACTAAACTTAACCTTGACTTTGCCTGGCATGGGATAGGACTACACTTGAACTAACCCAGGATAGCTGTTCTATGACATCTCCCTTAACCCCAAGTCTATCCCTTTATTTTTTAGTACTTCCATGTACTTTCTATTCTGGGATGTCCAAGTAGAAAATGACCAATTTGTTTTTTCAAAGAGACTAGAGGATATACAGCTTGGTTCCTGAGAGAGTTCCTTATTTAATAACAACAACAAAAAAATAATAATCAGGAGGAGACAGAGAAGAAGAAGAAGTTGTTTCAGTTTATAGTAAATATGCTACTTTTAAGGGTAAGTTAAGTACTCATAACAATGTAATCTTATAATATTTTGATCATTTAATTAACATTCCAAAAGCTGTGTGTGTGTGTGTGTGTGTGTGTGTGTGTATAGTGTGTATATATATATGTGTGTATATATATATGGGAGATACCAAATACTAAATACTAAAAACTAAATAGTAATACTAAATACTAAAAGATTAAGGCATATTTAACAAGAAATAACCTACAAGCCTATCCATGCTTCTTAAAGCCTTACTGAAAATAACAAGTTACAGAATTTAGAATGTGGTAATATGGTAATATCAGAAAGACTATGAGAGAAAGAAGGAAAGAGAAAACACTTTTTAAAATTGAGTAAATGTATTCTAGAAACATTCTTATTTGAGTATGAGAATTGTGCAAATGATACTGAATTTTAAGCAGTGATCCTGGATTATAGGGTTATTCTCAAAGTGGAGGGACTAAATTTAGCACATACAGAGAAAAAGATGAAAAACAGAGATAAATCAAACTTAGAAACCTCATCATTCCAAAGTAATCTTAATAAAATGCATTAATAATAGGAGAGATAAATTTCAAAGGCTTTAACTTTAAATACCTGGGTCAATTTAAAATGTAATACCAGTCTATATTTTGATGTGCTAACACTGACCTCTCAATAGTTCTTCTGTAAATCATCAAGGAAACTTATGTAATAATCAATTTATACAATTAATCTGGTAGTTTTGGAATGAAATGCATTACTTTATAACAGAGAAATACAAAGCAATATAGTGAAACTTCCCAAGCAAATATATGTGTATCAACTGAAATACATACATATCAAATACATATATACACACACATATGTGTATGCATACTTGCAAATGTGTGCATACATATACATAGGTATGTATAAATATGTGTTTATATATATAAACATAAATATAGACATACACTTGGACTCGTGAAAAAGACCAATGAAAGCAGATAATGATAATTTGAAATGGTGAATTTAATATGTATTAAATCATAAAAGTGGACCAACATCAATAGAAACGAAAGGACAGAGAGCTGAGGGTGTGTGAACTGCTGCTCTCTTTTTGCTGTTGGGTCAACATGTCAGCAATGCTTTCTATATGGAGCATCTTGCAGACATGAAACAAAGTGGTTCCTTCCTTGCTTTGCCTTTGGATTGTGCTGTTGTTCGTGTCCAGAGACCAGACTGTTCATATAGGGCTCTTTTCCTGATTCTTGATTATAATCCCCTGAGGAAATCAGACGAGCCTGGGGTTACTGGAGACCGTGTCTTGCTTGGCGTAGTTATCATCCACAAATCATCTGCTATAAATATATCTCAGCAGGATCATCATCAGGCCAGCTCAGTAGCCTGCAATTTATGAAGGTTATGAGAAACAATGTGAAGGGTGAAGGGCTTTATTAAGGATGGCTTTCTTTTCTGACCCTGCCCTGACTTCTACTTGAATATAAATGATCCTGGGAGTAAGTGATCCTTTCCATTTAGGATTAAGCCTTTTAAATTCTCCCTTTCAGCTGTTATTCTTATGCCACTGTGTCATGACTTTAAGAATTTCTAAGAAACATCAAAATCACAGTGTTACAAGATAATATGAGAAATCACTAGGTGCAAAATAGAAGTATAACTGAACCTCCCATTACATTATTTCCTTTTTATGTATAAACCACCCAAAGCATTTTTTTTTTCTCCATTTTTATTCCACATCTGTCATGGTTTTCTTTTCCTCTGGATAAAGTAACAGAAATGAGCAAATTGCCTTGCAAAAATCATAATTATGATCTCTAGGAAGTTGAAATAAAATGTTTTTCTCCTTTGTGTTGCTCAATGTTCTTTGTTTTTAAAAGAAAATGTGTTTGCTTAAACGGTGTTTCAAAATTTGTTCTGGATATAAACCCTAATTATTCCTTTTAACATTTCCTTAAATGAATAAAAAATATTGTAAAGAACCAAAATGACACAAAACCAAAATGCCACCCAGGCTGCTCTCTTGCCGGTGATCTGTTACTGGGAAAATAGTTAAAGCCTGTTGGGGAATTATTAACTGTTTCCCTTACAGAGTGTTTATCCCAGGCACTCGTTTAAGAAGGGAAAGTCTTGAAGAGGGTCACTCTGTTAATATGTATTAAGAAGTAAAGGACCAATTTTAATATTTCAAACAACTTCAGTGGATAAAAGACCATCAGCATCTTCCTGTTTTCACTATCAATCTCTTTTAAAATGGTGTTCTTGGCTATCCATAATCGCCCCAGGGGAGAGAAACGAGCGGAGGAAAAAAATGCAAGAGTGAGGGGAACAAATGATGAAAAATTGCTTTATTCAACTTCACCTGCCGCTCGAGAAACTCACCCTTATGAAGATTCCAGCACTTTATATGAATTGCCCATGGTGGTTTCCTCCCACCACATCATTGCACTATTTTAGCACTTGTTTTGCAAACCACCAACTGCGTTTACAAGTAGAGACATAATCAGGAGGCGAATGACCTTTTGTAGCATGTATCTGAAGCTGGTTTATCAGACACTTCGTCAGCCAACTGTCCAGGAGGCAAAATGACTGATAGATAGATAATAGATAGATAGACAGGCAGATAGATTAAAAGGTGGGGAAACTTATCCCTTTTCCCTTTCTATATAATCTGGTTGTTTCTCTTCACCCCTTTTCTCGTTTCTTCCCACCCCGTCCCCAAACCTGTTACTAGGGAAACTTGAAAAAGAATCAGATGCATTAAGACTACAAAATGAAACAAAAGTTTAGACCCCGAAACCATGATTCCATTGCCAAGCAGAAAGCAATGCAAGAGCCCAACCTCGGTCGCCGCACCGCGATCCTGACAAAGCCTGTATGGAGCCAGAACAAATAAGATGTTAATTGCAGCCTCGCAGAGAAAAACTACTATTGTTCCAGCCAGAGACACTCAGCAGCTCGGGAGCTGGGATGTGCCCCCTCCGCTGCGGACTGGATCAATTCTGAATCCCGGTGCTAAAATGACAGCTCTCTGGCTGCGACAGGTCCGCGCTGAAAGACAGAGAAAGACGATCAAGTCCAGCATTCACTTCCCACCCTTCAGAGTCGCCTTCCCATCCTCCGCACCCCCCTGCCTCGCCTCCCAGTGAGTTTCTCTTACAGTTGGTCGCCGCCAGCCCCAGCGGTGGGAACTGAGGATGCAAAAACCTCCCAGACGCAGAAAATACCGCTTTCGGGACGTGCTTGGGTTTGAGTAGCCGTGACGTGCAGGCGCACCGCGGCCCTGGCTGGAGCTCCGTGAAGCCCCCCTCCCGCCAGCCTCTACCCCGCCCTCCCGCCGGGACTCCCTCCTCTCCCACCCTGCGGCTCCCCTCGCCTTCTCTCACACACCCGCCCGCGCACCCGGTAGGCAGAACTCCAGGAAGTCGCAGCGGCCGCGCCGCGCGAGCCGAGCCTCTGGCGGGCGGCTGGGCGCACCGCAGCTGTGCAGGAGAGGGCGCGCGGCACCCGGGACGCGCGCGCACACGAGCACGCGGGAGGCCGCTGCGCTGACGCGCTCTCGGGACACGCGCAGCCCCCGCGCGCGCGCCCAAGGGAAAGCGAGCACCGCGCGCCGGCGCGCACACCCGAGACAGAGCTTTACTATCTCGCTCCCTCTCGCACCTCCCTCCTCGCTGGGCATTCAAACAGCTTTCCGACATCACCAGCCAAGGATTTTTCCCCCCTCTCCTTAGTCGCCGTCCGTCCATCAGTACCTGCAGGGGGGAGGAGGAGGAGGGAGGAAAGCGGAAAGAGGAAAGAGCATAAGCTTGAGCCTTCCGATCCGACCACGAATACTCCCGTAATAAACCCACCGCCCCAACAAATCTGCCATAGCAGCCGCCGCCGCCGCCGGTCACTTCTCGTCTCAGCGCTTCCTTTGCTTCTTGGCTAATCGGTTTGTTGGGGGTAGCTTTTATGAAACAAATCTTCGCTCTTAAGCCACTTACATTTTGGGGGGTTCCTTAGAGTCTCCCTTGGGGGGGCTTCTCCTCCCTTTAGCCCCCCTCGGATTGGAGGTTGGATTCAGTTGGATACGGCGCAAGGTTCTGGGCTCCTGGTGGCTTTTTTTTTTTCTCTCTCTCTCATCGACCCCCCCTTTCGTTCCCACCCCTCACCTTTTGCTTTTCGTATGTATGCATTTTTTAAAATAAATCCTGATTTTGGAAGCTGAGCCGGGGAAAATGGGCAACGGTGATTGGGACCGAAGGGGAGTCTCTCCGTCACTGTTGCTGGGACGCGTGCCTGTGCTGGTGTCTTAGAGCAAGAGCCTCCCTGAGCTTTCGGAGTGGAAGGTAAGGAAGGGGGTCCAGGGGTCACCTTTTCTCTGCCGGGGGTTGCCACCGTGGAGCTTTGGGCTTAATGTTTGAGAAGGGAGGAAAATGAAAGGAAAGGCTGTTGCTGGCGGATGGGGAGGCTGTGAGCAAATCCGACTGTCTGCATTTACTTAAACGCCGCAGTTGAAAAGTTAGAGAAGTCTGGTTTTCAAGAGATGTGCTGGGTCAGAAGGAATAAGCAGAGAGACCTAGAAAATCTGGCAGTTTTGTGTGATTGGGGTAATTTTATGGGGGGAAAATTTTAGGTTAAAAGGAAGTTAAGAGAAGGCAGTGGGTCTTCTATTGGGGGGAAAAATCTGTGGAGTGATGGCGCCGTCTATGTTCGACTAAACTAAAGTGTCACCCAGAAAATCAGTTGTGAGAATAGCTAAACTCAGTGCTGGTTTGCTTCTCAGCAAGAGATAGATAGATAAATAAATAAAACATCCTTGACACCTCCGTGGCCAGCCTTTGCCCCTGCCCCCACCTCTTCTTTAAGAGGGAAATACAGCTTTTTGAACGGTCCCTGCAGTCCAAAGGGGGATGAGGGTAATAATTTATTTTTTATTATTTAGAACAAAACAAGACTCTGTACTCCAGACTGATGAAAAATAAAGAGCATTATACTGAGTGTGCTCTCTTGAGCAGGCATTAAAGTGCTATTTCCTCACTCTTTCTGATCATTGATGAGCACGGCATTGCAGACATGCACTGTCAAATAAATGGAAGCAAAAGTACCAGTTTCATTAGGAAAAGACATACGACCTCTTTTTGAGTTCCTGATTATAAAATGAAATCCCCTTTCATGGATGGAATTCCTAATTTAGACACTTATTGTCACATTGGCTCTCAACGCCTACACTCTATCCTGAAGAACACTGCGCAGACCTGCATTGCCTGCAAAGTGCAACAGCAAAAAAAAAAAAAAAAAGAAAAAAAAGAAAAAAGAAAAAAAAGGAAATTATTTCCAGAATTTCTTACAACTTTCTCTGTTGTTGTTTTTTTTTAAACCTTTAAATGCTCATTGGCTTATTTTCTCATGAAGAAAATGCATTATTCATTGAGCTATTTGCTTGAAACAGAGAACACTGTTTTGATGGTCCCAGCAGTTCTGATGTTATTTTAAACTGCTGCTATATAGAGATTTAGAGTTGGGGCTGTGTTTGCCTATATCAAGACACAGAATTTGAATTATAATCTAGAAAATGCAGATCTATCTTCAGGGACTTCGGTCACTGGATTTGGTGTGCATGCGTTGGTGTGTGTTATGCAATGGGAAGGAAGAGGGTTTTATCCTTTGGTTCAGAGAAGACCCAGGCAAAGGCATGAAAACTCTTAACTGTCTATATGTCTGTATGTCTGTCTCTGTTTACAGAACAGTGGAAGAGACTGCAGCCTAAAGACTTTTAAAATTAACTTGGCATCACTTTTATCAGCTCAAAGGCTAAACAAACAAACAAACAAAAAGCAGTGTCATTTATTCTAAGAAATAACTTCTTAAAGGTTAAAGCTGAAAAATATTCAAGTTATTTTTGGATAACAACTTACAGAGGTAAATATAATCAAGGACTACTTTATTATCCAAAGCCAGGGTTGAAATTTAAAAAAAAAAAAAAAGAAAGAAAAGAAAAGAGGAGCTTTGGAGTTGTTGTTGGAAAGGGAGCAATCCAATAATTGGAATCTGCTAGGAACAAAAATGCTAATGTGTTTTATTACCATGTGTAAGCCTTAAATTACAGTTGATAAGATAATTTTTCAAAAATTAAAAGACTGAAACCAGCTCAATTACTATGGTTTTGTATTTTTTTTTTTTTTTTTTACTGACATCACCTTTGGATACAGATACTAATACAGTGATCCACTTTATGTATCCCAAGAGGGCATGTCACATTGAAATGACTGCCTTAAATCCTGGTTCTCAATGGTGATGTTGAACAACAAGTCTCCCCTATGTGTTTATCCATCTATGCCCTTTCTCAAATGATGTTTTTAAAATTAATTAATCCACATGAATGCCCATGTTTTTGCAAAGGAATTTCTGAGCAGTTCACATGGTGGCCCCTGCAAAGGCAAGTGGGGCATTTGGGAGATGATGTTCCATCTGTAATAAATTATCATTTGTGCTTTTAAAATTGTGGCCATAATTTATCATCATTACTTTTCACATTTAAGAGAAGGGAAATAATGTGATGACAGCCTGTTCCCAGATTATCAGATTAGATTTTGTATGATGGTGTTTACTGCAGGCAAAGGACAGAGAGAGAGAGGTTGTATAGACTATAGACTGATTAATACTATTTCGACAATTAGCGTTTACATTATGACGTTTTAAAACTCCATGTTTTCCCTTTTCATTCGATAGAATGATAATGGACGTGGAGGATATCCTGGTAGATAAGTTAGGGCATTCCTGTTAATAATCTATTAAATGTTATTTTTAAATGGAATGTTGCGAATTTGACCACTGTGAATGGCCACATGAGGGCGCTGTTCACACAGCAACAGATAATTTTCCTGTGTTATAAAATAAAAATTACCTGTCCTTCTTTTAAAAAGGGTTTTTTCTACCGAAATCTTGAAAACAGCTGGCTGTAATATTGAAAGGAGTTTATTTTCTCAATGCGTGTAGACTCCTACTTGCATTTTACTTTCATTGCCATTTTTACAGGCCAAATGACATAGGATGAAGGCTGTTCGTAACCTGCTGATTTATATATTTTCCACCTATCTCCTGGTTATGTTTGGATTTAATGCTGCCCAAGACTTCTGGTGTTCAACTTTGGTGAAGGGAGTCATTTATGGATCGTATTCTGTAAGTGAAATGTTTCCCAAAAACTTTACAAACTGCACTTGGACGCTGGAAAATCCAGATCCAACCAAATATAGCATTTACCTGAAATTTTCCAAAAAGGACCTTAGCTGCTCTAACTTTTCACTCCTGGCTTATCAGTTTGATCATTTTTCCCATGAAAAAATAAAGGATCTTTTAAGAAAGAATCATTCTATAATGCAACTCTGCAATTCCAAGAATGCTTTCGTTTTTCTACAATATGATAAAAATTTTATTCAAATACGTCGAGTATTTCCATCTGATTTCCCAGGATTACAGAAAAAAGGGGAAGAAGATCAGAAATCTTTTTTTGAGTTTTTGGTATTGAACAAGGTCAGCCCAAGCCAATTTGGTTGCCATGTATTATGCACTTGGTTGGAGAGCTGCTTAAAATCAGAAAATGGGAGAACAGAATCATGTGGGATCATGTATACAAAATGCACCTGCCCTCAGCATTTGGGAGAGTGGGGGATCGACGACCAGTCGCTGGTTTTGTTAAATAACGTGGTGTTACCCCTGAATGAGCAGACAGAGGGCTGCCTGACCCAGGAGCTGCAAACCACCCAAGTCTGCAATCTTACCAGGGAGGCCAAGCGACCACCCAAAGAAGGTAAGTGGCCAAAGGAGAGGGGAAGGTGAGCGGGGGAGCACTTTTGGGAGATGGAGTTAAAACGTGCTGTTTCAACAGACAGGCCTAATTTTTTCTCCTTTATTGTCACTTTTGAATTCATTTGATTTGTGGTATTCACTGATAAAGGTCTCTTGAGCTAGTTTTAGGATTCAGGGTTTTAGAGATAGGGCGGTGAGGGCTGGATAGCTCACCAGCATGCGCTGGAAGTGCGGGTGGAATTTTCAGGAGAAAGATGCAGAAACCTAGAGCCAGCTTGTACTAGAGATTGGTGAGGAGGGAGAGGGATGCCATTATTCAGGCTGCAGCCCCTTGAGGTGACACAAACGCTCCACCTGTGAAATGGATTTATAGACATCTCCCTTCTGCTCCAGCCCAGCAAAACGTCCACTTTACTTCCTCTCTCCTATGCCCACAGAGTCCTTCCCTCTCACTCCCCACCCATTTCCAGGTTTGATTTTGGGGCATCTTGGCTAAAAGGTGGTGCAAACTCATTAGCTTGCCTGTTTGGACCAAATGACTTCCTGACACTTGAAGGCAGGGGTATACATTCTCCCCTGGTCTGGAATTTTATTTGAGGTGCTTGCGCAAAAATCTCGCACGCTTGCTCTTTCCTGGGTCAGAAGGCAGTCACTAGAAGTGCAAACTCTCCAGGTCTTCTGGTTCTGGAGTCGCCTGAGGATGGGGTGGAGGGGTGCAATGAAAACACATACTGATCCTTTAGGACCCCATCCGCCTCTTGAGAGTGAATTTTTGTCTTTATCTTCTTGGTCCCCGGTTGATGCACAGAAGAGAAGGAACGTCTTAGAGCTAGATGGGGGGAGGGAGGGGGAGGAAGTGCAGCGGAAATGCGGAAGAAAAAGAAAGTACAGGAATGATTTATAGTTTTCACCCAATCCCCAGTGGGGGAGCTACCAGAGGATTTGAGGTTGTGATGATGTGTCATAATGCAAGAAAGCGTGACATATTTTGAGAAAATGACTTTTCTTGTTTGGAAGGTTAATGGATGTTGTGTTCCATTCCTTTAAGGACACGGCTGATACATATTCGTTCTTGCTTCCCAATCCTGCAACCAGAGAGTGTATTGATTTCTTATGCAGGAAATGTTTTCTGATCGCCACAAAGATCCCAGTCTGTGGAAAGGGACAGCCAAACTCCAGTCTCCAAGCTCCAGTCCCTCTTT